ACTCTCGGTCCAAACGCTTTAATGAACTGTTTTACAGTTGTCTCGGTCTCATATTTTTAGGTGTATATCTGCAGTCATCAAGCTGACCTGCGATCCTTCATTCGTCTCTCATACTGCACATCTCCCTAACTCGGGATCCGCGATCTGAGCTGGACTACCTCCTACTGGTTACGCAGTACGGTGTTCTATGTGTTGTCGTGTTGGCGTCCCTTCTGCCTTCTTTTCTTTTTTTTTCTTTAGTTTTGTTCTACACTCGTTCTCCTTACGCTCTCTCGTCTATGCCTTCGTCTCTCTCTCTCTCTCTCTCTCTCTCTCTCTCTCTCTCTTTGCCCTCTTCACTATCTCATTATACTATTTGTCTTCTTTTTTTTTCTCTCTTTTTTTTTTATCTATTTTTTTTACTTTTTTTTTGATCCCCTTACTCGGCTTCCACCTCCCTTTTGCTTCTTTTCAGTCTCTTTCCTTTTAGAAGTAATCTCCTGAGAAACACAGAGTGAGAGGGGGAACGTGAGACACAGAGAGAGAGTGTGAGAGAGAGAGAGAGAGAGAGAGAGAGAGAGAGAGAGAGAGACAGACAGACAGACAGACAGACAGACAGACAGACAGACAGACAGACAGACAGACAGACAGACAGACAGACAAACAGACAGACAGAGGGAGAGACAGTAAGAGAGAAAGAGAGAGAGCGAGAGAGAGAGAGAGAGAGAGAGAGAGAGAGAGAGAGAGAGAAAGTGAGAGAGATAAATATAGATATATAACACATCAAGAATAAAAATACATACATATATAATACATCAACCAACTAGATCGACATTTTTACCACGTACAAATCGGCGGCCGTATTTGTCGAACAACAGACCCCAGACGTTGGAGGAAACGGCCATACCTGCGAACACAGCCTGGTGAAAGAGGAAAGGGTTATCGTTGGAGTCGTTTGGTGAGACTAGGCAATACCAAAGATAGTAAATAACAAGATGGGCCACTCAGCCAAAAAAGTGTCCGCAGGAAGTATGCTCTTTGCTTCAGATGGCGCTGCAGTCTGTTTTGAAGCTCTCTTTCGTTTTTCCAGAAGAATAATAGGAATAGCACCTCCTTGCGTGCGCAGATCGACTGCTGTTCATCAGCAGTTCGGGTTCGTTCAGTACGGAGTTTTAGTTTTTTTTTAATTTTAATGACCTCTGGCCTTTCATTCTAAAGTCAAATTAAACGAAGAAAACAATCACCCTTTCCTCCGGAAGAGGTTTTTTGTCAGCGTAACCTTTTTAAAAAAGCATTCTTCCGAAATTCATTCAAAAACTTGCTAGTTTCACTTTGATTTTTTAAACCCAAGTAGGATAACTCTGTTCGCAAAAGGTGCGCTTTTGTGAAGAGGGCGCCACCGAATTTTGAGGACACTTTTTTAATTGGCTCAAAGAGAGAAGTGGCCCATCTTGTTATGTACTATCTTTGGCAATACCTACTATAATATTTTGCTGTTGTAGAGCATCAACAAACGGAAAACCTGGAACCAAACCCTAAGAATACAACAACAACAATGTCGACATTAGAAATAATTTCAATAGTCTGTCGTCTAAATAGCTAACTTAGTCACCCTTGATCATAATATTATTATGCTGATCTTTTTTGTTGTTGTTTTGTTTGTTTTGTTTTGCTTTTTATTATTTTAAAAACAAAACATCACTCGTCCATTCTCATACACATTTACATGACATATACATTGCAGTTTTGACACCCCCCCCCCCTCTCTCTCTCTCTCTCTCTCTCTCTCTCTCTCTCTCTCTCTCTCTCTCTCTCCCCTCTTTCTCTCTCTCTCTCTCTCTCTCTCTCTCTCTCTCTCTCTCTCTCTCTCTCTCTCTCTCTCTCTCTCTCTCTCTCTCATGCTCAACCCCTACCTTTGTATGAAACTCTTGCACCTTCCCACTCTTTCTCTTCAGTAAATAACTACTGTAGTTTTCATTGTGCAAACAAACAAGAACGGAACCACCAGAAAGTCAGAGAGGTTTGGGAGCAAAATCATTCTCCAACTAATTATGTACTTTAAGGTATCGAATAAGCGCCCCCCCCCCCCCACCCCCGCTCCTTATTCCATACCCCCCGTTTATTATACCCCAGTATTAGTACCCGTACTGGGTTGGCTACCTCAATTTTCTGTGCATTTTAAATACTTTTGTACATTGGTTTATATTTTTTAACTAATCTGGTTTGTTCCTTAATGGGGAAAGTTGTCACATTAACTTACTAAAATCACTAAAAATTTCATGATCTCTAGTTCTTTTATTCATTGAAGTAGAAATAAAACAGATTTGTTTCTACTAGTACACGGGTATGAGATTGAATGTGTAATTTTGGACCACTTATCCACCACCTTCCCCCTCCCCCTTTTTTAAGCGATACCTTTGAGTAGGTCTTACACTATGCCCCAACAGCACCTACGAAAGAGTGTATATTGTGTAACCTTACAGATACTTTTAAAAAGCATGGTGTGTCTTTAACTTTAAACACACTTTCAATATGTCTTTGATTTTGATCTCGTTTCATCAAAATGTAGAATCTAAACTTCGATTTATTTCAATCTGTCTGTCACGTAGCTAAGCGTAGTCTAAAAATAGTCCAAAAAGGTTGTGGACCACAAACTAGGCTTGATCTATAATCCATAACCTCCCCCCCCCCCCTCCACCAGAGAAAAATAACAACAGCTGCCCCACCACTACCACCACCACCACCACCACCACCACCACCACCAACAACAACAACAACAACAGCAGCAGCAGCAGCAGCAGCAGCAACAATAATAACAACAACAATAACAACAACAACAACAACAGCTCAGTTCTCTTTGTTGGCGTTCACTGAAGGGATCTCCCTTGGGATCAAACAGGCAACAACAAGGATCACTCACCGTTGTCAATAAAGCCTCTTGTGCGCCTGTAAGCTGCCAGGTACATTGCAGCTCGGGCGACAGAATAGACAATAACATGATCTCCATCGCATCAGACATCTGAAATGGTCAGTCGTGGAGAAATGCACGTACAGTACAGTCAGGTCTCCTTGTCTTTGACAGTTTGTTTCTATTGACATTTAACTCACTGAGACAACATAATCTTGTCATTCGAAAATGCTCGGTGATGCACTGTTTTGCGGCATAACTTCTTTATTCAAACAGATTTTTAGTCTTTTTTATTTGCCTGAAATTTTTAAAAATCGGGCAAGAACATGCGTATAATGAAATACACAATTTTTTTTACATTTCTAATGTGTGCATGATTTTTTGAAAATTGCCTCGACATTGCCTGTTGTCCGCCGCTGCCACTTTGTACTTAAAGAGTTAAAGTATAAATAGCCACAATATATAGATCCTTATGAAAACAGAACAATAATGTGTTCCTTTCATGTCATCGGAACTATTATCATATCATAAGAATATTATAACAAATTCAGAATAGTTATCAATTTTAACTTCGAGGGACACGAGTTTTGATAAAGTTTAAAACCAATTTCTTCAAAATGAAGCCCCTAGATTGATGATTACAATTAACGCCTATACACTCACACACACACACACACACACGCGCGCGCGCGCGCGCGCGCACACGCACGCACACATACAAACACACACACACACACACACACACACACACACACACACACACACACACACAGAGTGGTGAGACTCCCTATGAGACGGCCGCCCGAAATTAAGACAGGCCGGCCGCCAGCCGGCCAGCCAGCCAGAAGGACGGACCGACGGGCGGGCGGACCGGCCGGAGTCCGGACGGCGGGGGAAGGGAAAAAAAAGAGGGAAAAAAATTCAAAACTGCCCCCGCTCTCTCTCTCTCTGTGTTTATTTTTAGCGGAGGTACTTCTCTTTCTGTCGATAAGGAAAATGTCCCCCCCCT